TATCTTCTTGAAATACGTGATGTAGTTGGAGAAAGAAGACAAGCCTTTCATCCATTCATTTGACAAACACATATTAACTGCCTAGTATGCACTGTGCATTGCATTAACCACTGATAGGAGCTGGGGGACATGGAGAAGAATAAGGTGAGTATTGAGGAGGAAACAATACAAAGACAAATAAGATGTGGTCCTTGACTTCAATAAATTTATAATTAAATGGGATAAGATCACACAAGTAAACAATGCATATTACGGTATTAGAAATTCTTAAAGGTAAAACCGAAAATACTTTAGAACATGTGAAAAGGTTAAATAATGATACAGAGTAATAGGGACTGAAGTGACTAATTTTCCCAGGACAAGTAACAGTAGATCACATTCAGGGCAGCTAAGAGACATGTTGCGGACATAAATAAGTTGCACTGTTTTGTCAATGACAACTTAGATGTAAGAAAAAGTGTAAAGGATTTCATCCAAGAGATATGTGACCAAAGGATTTAACATAATGTTGTGAGAGCTATGGATAATAGATGGATAGTTTATATATTTCAGAAGGCTTTAGATATGTAATATCTAAAAAAAAATTCAGAGGAAGCCCCCCCCCACTCACTTTTTACATTGGTTAAGTCCTTTATGGAAGAATTTCAGAAGAATATGAGCCAGCAAAATGGCAGCATGTCTTAGGGGATAGAAAGCTCATCTCAGAGTCAAGAAAACCTGGATTCAAGTCTTACCTTTGACCTGGACAAGCTACTTTATTTCTCACTGTTGCTCACAGGCAACTCTAAAACTAACTTGCAGAACAGTTACCAATCTGCAAAGGAGATCCCTACACCAATGGAATTACAGATGTAAACCAAAAGAACCAGCAAAAGAAACAAAAAAGTGGTCTGAGAGGTACAAAAGGAGCAAAAGGATTGCAGAAGCCAAGGAAATGGAAGGCATAGCTGTAGAGGGGATAGGGAGAAGGTCAAATGCTGCAAGAAAATCAAGGATAAATCTAAGAAAAGGCCAATGGATTTTATAATAAAAAGCCTATTACTGAATTGTGAGGGAGCAATTTTAGCAAAGGAAGCCAGATTGCAAGAGGTTAAAAAGTAAGCAGGAGCTAAGCAACAGAGACACCAGATTTAGGCTATTTTTTAAAGATGTTTGGCAATGAGAGAGGCTATAGTTAGCTCAGTGGGATAAGAAGCATTAATGAAGTTATTCTTAGAAATAAGAAGAATTTGTAGTAGCACTTTTATTATAGCAAAGAACTAGAAACAAAATGCGTACCCATCAAATGAGGAATGGATGGGCAAATTGCAACATATGGTTATAATGGAATACTATTGTACCATAAGATGACCAAAGAGTAGTTTCAGAGAAACTTGGGAAGACTAGTGTGAACTGATGTACAGTTAAATGAGTAGAAACAGTAGAACAATTTATTCAATTATTACAGTATTGTATAGAAAAACAACTTTGAAAGTCTAAAGAACGTGAATTAATTCAATGATCAATCACAAGTCCAGAAGACTGATGAGGAAACATGTTTCCCAAATTTTGGTAGAGAGGTGATGGACATAGGGACAGGATAAGACTTACATTTTCCAACATGACCAGTGTGTGAATTCATTTTGGTTAACTACTTATTTGTTACAAAGAAGGTCTTTCAATTTTTTTGTGAGAGGAGAGAGGGATGACAGTGATGTTAAAAAAAGAATAGGAAAAATCATAAGTCATTGATGAAAATCGAAAATGAACAGAAGAGTGCAGAAGGACTTTCCAAGGGAACTCAGAAAGCAGGATAGTGTTGGTACTACTGCACTAACTTTACTATGTACTTTCAAAAGCTGTAGGAAATAGAGATATACTGTTCTATATACAATCCTCTTTTCTATGTTCTTTATATGTGGAAATGTTCATATTTGTGGATGTTTGTGAAGTTCATAATGCCCAAAGATATTTTTTAAGAGAATTGAGAAGATCTGAACACAGAGGGGTCAGAAGGGAAAGAGTCACTAGAAAGGGAGAAATTGAAAATTCATAAGAAACGCTTGAAAGAACAAGATCCTAGAGGAATGTTGTAGGGGATGGCATCATTAGAACAGATGGGATAGTTATCCTTAAGCAGAAATGTCTTAACTCTAAGACAGGAAGGAAGGAAGGAATACCTTGAGAAATTTTCAGGTTTGAAGGCAGGATCATTAGGTTGTTCATAAAAGATGGCTTTACTTTTCTCAGTAATATACACAGGTGAAGTAATAAGCTATTGTCATAGGGAAGAGAAAGGGAATAAGGATTTGAAGAGAATTGAAAAGTTTAGGAAGAGTCACTGTGCAAAATGAGATGGGAAATCATTAAGTGTAGGATAAAAGGATTGCTAAGAAGCAATAAGAACCCATCAGGAAAAATGAAGCATAAATTTGGATGAAATTTTGATTGATTTGGGGAGTGAGCAGCCCAGTAGCAATACTAGAAAAGCGGACAGGCAGGGAAGAAAGGAAGAAAGCATTTATTAAAGGTTTGCTATATGTCAGTCCTGTGCTAAATACTAAGGATAAAAATACAAGCAAAAAGATACTCCCTATTCTTAACGGTAAGACATCACACAAAAGGGAGCTGAAAAGGGAGGAGGGAAGTAAAAAGGCACCTGAACAGAACCAGAAGGGGAATAAAGGGAATCTGCTACTGCTGATTGTGGTGGTGATTTGCCTGAGTTCCTCATCTATAAAATGGGCTGGAGAAAGAAATGGTAAATCACTGTAGTATTTTTGCCAAGAAAACTCCAAATGGGGTCACGAAGAGTCAGACACAACTGGAATGACTAAACAACACCAAAGTGCCAGGCACTGTGCAAGCACTAAGGAAACAATTACAAGCAAAAAGAAAAATAGTCCTGCCTTCAGGGAGCTTACATTCTAACGGGGGAAGACAGCACACAAAAGGAAGCTGAAAAGGAGGAAGGAGAAGGAAAAAGGTACCTGAAAAGAACCAGAAGGGGAATAAAGGTGAGTCTAGGAACCTCCACAAAATGGAGGCTGCTGGAGGCACTCACCTATGGGGGAAGGGGGAAGGTCTTAAAGAGTGGGATGCTCCATGTTTACAAGGCCACAGGGATAGTTGAATCTTCCAGGATGAAGATGCCCCAGGCACTGGGGAAGTTCTAATATGAGACAGCATGGTTTAGAAGTCCAGGAGCCAGAAATGAGGCTGGGAAGGGGAATGTAGGAAATATTCAGAATTGAAAATTAGTGTGACAAGAATAGCAGGTCAAGGGGAGTGAGGGATTCAAGGAGATAATTGTAGATCAGTTCTCCAGGTAGTCTGGGCCCTCTCTGATGAAATTGTTTCCCTTGAGAAGGGAATCTCTACCACTCTTCTGACCATAGAAGCTGCTTTGCCACCTGTTAAGAAGGGAATTTGTGGAAAGCAGTATGGAAGAAACTACATAAAGACCAACATCTTATACTGTATACAAAGGTAAAATCAAAATGGGTATGTGATTTAGACATAAATAGTTGATACCATAAACAAATTAGGAGAGCAAGGAATAGTTTACCTGTCAGATCTATGAAGAAGGGAAGAATTTACAACCAAGCAGGAGATGGAGAGCATTACAAGATGTAAAATGGTTAATTTTGATTACATCAAATTTAAAAGGTTTTGCACAAACAAAACCAATACAAACAAAATAAGAAGGAAAGCAGACAGCTGGAAAACAATTGTTATAGCAAGTGTCTCTGATAAAGGCCTAATTTCTCAAATATAGAGAGAACTGAGTCAAATTTATAAGAGTACAAGTCATTTCCCAATTGATAAATGGCCAAAGGGATATAAACTGGCAGTTTTCAGATGAAGAAATCAAAGCTATCTATAGTCATAAGAAAAAATGCTCTAAATCACTATTGATTAGAGAAATGCAAATTAAAACAACTCTGAGGTACCACCTTACACCTATCAGATTGGCTAAAATGACAGAAAAGAAAAATGATAAATGTTGGAGGAGGTGTGGGAAAATTGGGACATTAATGCATAGTTGGTGGAGTTGTGAACTGATCCAGCCATTCTGGAGAGCAATTTGGAATTATGCCCAAAGGGCTTTAAACTGCGCATACTCTTTGATCCAGCAACATAACTACTAGATCTGTATCCCAAAAAGATTTTTACAAAAAGGGGGAAATGACCTATTTGTACAAAAATATTTATAGCAGCTCTTTTCTGGTGGCAAAGAATTAGACATTGAGGGGATGTCCATCAGTTGAAGAATGCTGAACAAGTTGTGGTATATGATTGTAATGGAATACTATTGTACTATAAGAAATGATGAGCAAGATGATTTCAGAAAAACTGGAAAGAGTTCCACAAAGTGAAGTAAGCAGAACCAGAAGAATATCTACACAGTAATAACATTGTATGATGATCAACTGTGAATGACCTAGCTATTCTCAGCAATACAATGGTCCAAGACAATCCCAAAGGACTCATGATGAAAAATGCTATCCACCTCCAGAGAAAGAACTGGTGGAGTCTGAATGCACATCAAAGCATACTATTTTCACTTTATTTTTTCATGGGTTTTTTTTTTTCGGTCTATGTCTTCTACAATGTGACTAATATGGAAATATGTCTTGCATGATTGCACATGTATAACCTATATCAAAATGCTCAGGGAGAAGAGAAAAGAAGAAGGGAGAGAGAGAGAGAATTTGGAACTCAAAATTTAAAAAAATTAATGTTAAAAATTGTCTTTACTTGTAATTTGGAAAATACTTTTTTTTAAAAGAAAGGAACTTAAAAGAAGGGATGGCTCAGGGAATGTTCTTATTCTGCAGGTTTCAGAGGAGTATTTACCATCTCACTACCCCTGACATCCCTTCCCTCAGCCCTATCCCAACACACACATACATTCACTTCCACCCCTAGTCCTGGCATAATGCTAGTCAGCCATGTATGCAAATAAATTGAGGAATGGATGATTAGTTGGAATTTTTTTTTAATCATTTTATTTTTAGGAACATTCTGAAGCTACCAAAATCTGGCTAACAGGAAAATTTACTGAACTGCGTTTATTACTTGATGAAGAGGAAATGGCTGCAAAGAAATTCATTGATAGAAACACCCAACAGGCATTTAGAACATATAATGAGCAAATGGAATTGTGTCAAGAACGAATTAACATCATAGACAACCTTTCCAGGAAGATCCAAAGAATACACCAGCAGCAAGATCCTATTCGGTTGCTACAGGTAACAAGAGATTTCTGACACTTAAGTCATCAATTGCTAATTTTAGTTCATAGTGATTAGTGTCTGTATTTATGTGGCATTTGAAGTACTTTAAGAGCCATATCTTTTGGGGTTTTTTTTCCTTCTCAATTCATGTGTTGGTGCATACAAGTTCAATTACAGATTCTGCTCCACAATGAGAAAATGGGGTTGTTTGAGATACAGCATAAGACTTCATTTACAACGGAGAGTATCATTTGCTAAGGAAGCTTAGGTTGGTCCAGACGTAAAAAGACAGAACTTTTCACCTTGTTGTTGTTCAATCATTTCAGTCATGTCCTACTCTTCATGACTCCATGGACCTCTGTCTATGGGGTCTTCTCATCAAAAACAGTGAAGTGGTTTGCCGTTTCTTTCTCCAGTGGCAAACAGAGGTTAAGTGACTTGCCCAAGGTCACACAGCAAGGAAGTTTCTGAGGTTGAATTTGAACTCAGATCTTCCTAACTCAAAGCCCAGTGCTCTATCTACAGCGCCATCTAATTGCCCCCCTTTTCACCTGCTGGAGTCCATTTAGGAAATCATAAGACACAAAATTTAAGGGGCAGAACAAGAAAGTAGCATTGAATCTACCCATACAGATAAGCATATACCCTGCATAGTTTATCTTAAAAGTAGATAGACAATCCAAAAATTAATGAGTCAATAGACTATGAATAATTATTTAAAGCATGCGTACATGTTCGCATTTGCCTTCCTTTCTGGCTTTATTGTTATGTCTGTGCACACAAAAGTAGAATTTCTAGAGAATTGTTCCAAATGTACATTTATTTTAACTCATCAGACTCTTTTCATCCCAGTAGTGGTGGGAACAGCATGATGGAATCACTTTCAATTATACCTGCAGTAAAAGGGAGTAGGGTGATAGAGAGACCTCCTGGTAGTTGTTACCTGTCTTATTGCCAGGGTCTGTTTTCTCAGACCCATAGGTCTATAATGTCTGTAGTAACTTCATCCGGGGGTGATCAAACCCAGAAGTAAAAAAAACGGTTCAGTATAGTCGAACTCGAATTCACTTCAACAAACATTTATTGCCTACTATGTACCCAAACTAGCATTCAATTCAATAAACACAGTAGTGCTTACTACGTGTAGTGCAGGGCAGCTAAGTGACGAAGTAGATAGAGCACTAGGCTTGGAATCAGAAAGACTCATCTTCCTGAATTCAAATCCAACTTCAGACTTACTAGCTGTGTGACCCTGAGCAAGTCACTTCACCCTGTTTGCTTCAGTTTCCTCATCTGTAAAATGAGGTGGAGAAGGCCGTGGTAAAACCACTCCAGTATCTTTGCCAAGAAAACCCTAAGTGGGGTCATGAAGAGTTGGACATGACTGAAACAACTAAACAATAAGAAGGTGTAGTGCAGCGTGGAGTTCTGAATAGAGAGCTAGCCTGGGGTCAAGAGGATGTGGGTTCAAAACCTGCCCCTGGCACTTCCCAGCTGTGTGACTCTGGGCAACCCCAGAGTTGCCCCAGGCAACTCTCATACACTATAAATGGCAGAAGAGTTGCTGATCTACATTTGTGGAGGAAGTATCCTTGCCCAGAGTTTCCTACCCCAGTGAAATCACCAGTGCTGGTCAAAACTTTCTCGCAATTTTTAATCTCGGTTGCCTAGAGTACTGAGAGGTTAAGCAACTTGCCCAGAGTCACACAGTCAGTATGTGTCAGAGGAGGAATTTGAACTTAGGTCTTCCTAGTTTGAGGCCAGTTTTCTATCCACTATACCCTGATGCTTGCATTTTCTCTCTTTTCTGTCCCTCCTGCTGTGTCAAGGTACACTGGAGAAAATTTTCTAGAAATTATTAAGAAACAAAGACCAGTTTTCTCAAAAGAACTGGAAAGAAATAGTTAAGGATGATTGATGCTGTTGAGTCTGCTCAGTTGTGTCTTACTCTTCGTGGCCCCGTTTAGGGTTTTCTTGGCCAAGATACTGGAGGGGTTTGCCATTTCCTTCTCCAGCACATTTTGCAGATGAGGAAACTGAGGCAAACAGAGTTAAGTGACTTGCTCAGGGTCACACAGCTAGGAAGTATCTGAGGCTAGAATAGAACTCAGGTCTTCCTGACTCCAATTCCTGTGTTCTATCTACTGCACCATCTCATAAGAATTGTGCACGTAAGGATCCAGCACTTAAACTTTCAGATAGCTTCCTAGTTCAGTAGAAAGATGTAAGTCTATAGAATACAACTTCTACAAATTGAGAATACATTTCTTAACAGAAACTCTAAAGATGAGAGGCATGAGGTGTAAAGAGCTGACCTCATAATAAGGAAGACTTAGTTTAAGGCCTGCCTCTGACATTGGTTGTGTAACCTTAGGCAGGTCCCTTAACTAGTCATTGTCCCAGACAAACTCTATAAGACTGTCAGTTGCAAAGTGGATGACCCCAATGACTTAACAGCAAGAGCTTCCTCACAAAGTTCCCAACAGCAATTAAATCACTGGTCAGGACAAAAAAAAATACCCCTTAAGCCCCCTAAAGATACAATATAGATAAGCAAGCATTTTTGTAAATTGGATGGAATTAGATTGCCAATGCTGTACCCAGTGGGACTCAAGTTAACATGAGACCACGTAGGCTTCTCAGCTTCAGACGAAAGAGGCAGACAAACAGTAAAATACAGATAGCAAAAAAAAAGGTAAGTGTTGCTGTCACTTTTTCCTCTGCTCACCAGGAAGAAAAATCAAAGAGAGAACACAGAACACATCTGGGTCCTTAAATCTTTTCTGCTGCTTTTAGTCTCCTCACATCATATTCTGTAAAATTAACTTTCTTCTCATTAAGAGTCTCTATAGTGTATTACCTTAGCCTTGCCAAGGGTTGGGAAAAAAATTAATAACTTTTCTATATTCCTAGATCTATGCTAGATTTTAGATTAGTGGAAAAAAACTTTTTCTTTTTTTTAAGGGTTAAATCAGTTTTGAATCAAAGAGCTCCAACTACATTAAAAAAAAGAAAGAAAGAAAGAAAGCCATTTCTTCAGTCCAGTCACATGCTTCCCACTTTCCCTAGACTTGGTATTCTTGCTGAAGCTATGATATCTTTAATGATATCATGACTTCTTCCAGTAGCTCCTTGTTGGTAACATACCCACCATGTACTTTTTCATTATCCTTTGGGTGACCTACAAGTGTAATTCTTTGGACACTGTAGTATTTCATAGCCATATAAGATCACCTGAAGAATATCATTATTAAAAAGATGGGGGGCACCTAGGTGGCACAGTGGATAGAGCTCCAGCCTTGGAGTCAGGAGGACCTAAGTTCAAATTTGACCTCAGACATGACACTTACTAGCTGTGTGACCCTGGGCAAGTCACTTAACCTCACCAAAAAGGAAAAAAAAAAAGATGGGCCTTTGTCTCAGGGAGAAGCTTGGGGTCATTAAAGGTTATTGCTTGATATCCCAAAGGCAATGCAGCCCACTTTGCTCTTCACATCTGAGCCTTGCTCATTGTTTGTCCACAGTGTCTATCCAAGACATACATACTGATGGACAGAGAGCTTGTCCATCCGTTCAGCCATTCTTCATGTACTTGGTTTTTCCCGTGTGAATAATTAAGCTGAATTCTCTTGAATGATTATGAATCCGAGACCCTACAGTGTTCAAGGGCTTGATTCAAAAAACAAATCCTAAGACCGTAGATTTAGGGCTGGAAGGGGACCATCATCTGCAACATGGAATATCTGGAGGACCATCTTTAGAAAATCCTTCTAATATCCCAACAGTGCTCTTCTTTTAAAAAGGAACATTTAAGCTCATCTCACTGAGCCTCTCATTCAACATAGTAATCTCCCTCAACACCAACACTCTCAAGTGGGTATCCACCTTGTGCTTGAACAATTCTTGTAATACAGGGTTTACTAGCTCAAAAGGTCAGTCATTCCATTCGGGGTCAGCCATTAGTCTTCTTTCTGTTGAGCCAAAATTAGTCCTAGTTATCCCTTATGGGGATAAGCAGAGTATCTCAAATTCCTCTTCCATATGACAGCCTTTAAGATAGTTGACAACCTTTCTTTATCTTCTCCAGTCTAAACTTGATCAGTTCCCACAACTGCTCCTTATATGTTATACATTTCATAGATGGAGAGTTATAGAGATGGATATATCATATATAATTTTACATTCTAATTTTATGTTTATATTGTTGTCATCCCTTTTCCATCAGACTCAACTCTCCTCAAGACCAAAGATTAGGTGTTATTCTATCATTCTTAGCACTTAGTACAGTATATGGTAGATGCTTAATTAACATTTGTTGGCCACGGCATGGTTTTGACTATTCTGAGGTCCCTTCTCTGGATATTTTCTAATTGGTTAGTGGTCCTCTTATTATGTTGTGTCCTGATCTAAATGTAGTATTATTGATGTGGTTTGTCCAGGTCAGAATAGACGAGGCTTTCTTTCTTCAAGCTGCCAGAAAGTGTATAGTTGCGGGTAGATCATATACTATCTTAATACATCTTATTTTCTCATTTTTTTAATTCCTTTCAGTTATCATTTTGTTAAGCAGCATGGTATGCTAGGAACGGAGCTGGCCTTGAGGTCAGCTTGTGACCCCTGGGCAGTTTATTTCATTTCTCTAAGCCTCAGTTCCCTCATCTATGAAATGGGGATAGTATTATTGGCAATTTCTCATAGGGTTGCTATAAGAAAAAATGTTTCATAAACTTTAAAGTACTATAAAAATGTGAGCTCTTGACTAGACTTTTTTCATTAAAATTGAGTATTTTGGAAAAATAAAGTTTTATGTTAAAATATATCATATATAAACAGCATAATATAAATATATTTGTGAATATTATACAATTTTATTTACAAATATAAATATAATATATAAGCAACCATATATTAAAAATATGTTGTTTGTAGGCATATGCTCATATTTGCAAGCTAATGCTTCAAGGGCTTTTTCTTTCTTTGGTGTAAATGCTCCTTTAGCTGACATTTAGATAAAGCTTTAAGGTTTACAAAGAGTTTTGCATAGTTTATCTCATTTGAGCTTCTCAGTAACCCTATGTGGTAAGTACTGAAAGCTTTGTTATTCCCATTTTACAGATATAGAAATAGAGGTTAATTTGTCCATGGTCTTACATCTAGTAAATGTCAGAGGCAGGATTTGAGCCCAAGATTGCCTGTCTCCTACTCTAGCACTCTATCCATTACCCGCCACTGCCTCTTCATTGACACAGATAGTAACTCCTTTGCATTTTAGTGGAGGATCTCTGAGAGTTGTCATTACAGAAATATTCATTAGCATGGAATGCTGCCTTCCTAACTTCTGAGTGATGGAATCTTTGGCTTTCTTTAAGACTTACCTCTAGCACCATTTCTTCTAGGAGGCCTTTCCTAGTCCCTCCTCTTCCCCCTTCCCCCAGTTGGTATTGCCAACCCCTCCTAAGGTTATACTCCATCTACTCCTATTTTTTTTATATACTCTGATTTATACATGTTGTCTCCTCCATTAGAATGTAAGCTCCTTGAAGGAAGGGAATGTTTTTGTTTTATTTTGGCTTTGTATCCCCAGTATTCAGTGTAGTACCTGGTGAATGGTAAGCTCTTAATAAATGCTTTTTGACTGACAAATTGAGGAGCCTCATCACACTTAGCTAGACTACTATTGGAATGATAGACATTCTGTACCTTTACTCAAAATCTTTTCAGCTTAGAAGGACCTGTCAATGCTTATGCTTTCCTAGAATAGCTTTCTAGAACTTAGGGTTGCTTCCATACCACTATGAGGCACCAAAGTAGGACTTCAGTGGAGGGAATCCAAGCTAAGTAGCCTAAAAGTCAGTGGAGGGAATAGGCTTCTGAGTTTTTTAGTAAGAAGGCATAAAAAGGGCAGTGACATTCTTTCCCCTTTCACAGATTTGTTTAAGCCAAACATAAAATCAGTTCTGTTACCTTTAGGAATATACAACATCAGAAAAGGAAATGATGCAGCAGATGATTCCTACAGAATTATGCCATCCAATACCTGTCAGGTTTGAGCATGTTAAGACCTATTACAGGAACTTAGCAACAGCCGTTTTTACCACTCTGCAGATGCCATTCGATGTCCGCCTTAAAGAAGGTAAATCATTTTTTACTTAACCTAATTTCTTTGCAGGCAATGCAGGATGCTTTTCCTTTCTGACTTACACCAGGTCTCTTTAGCCCAGATGAATCTGCCAAACTAATCTTCCTAAAATACTTTCCATCATGATACTCTTTTGCTCGAAAAAAGTTCAGTGATTTCAAAGACTAAGAAAGTAAAGTCCATATCCCTTGACCTTGCATTCAAGGCCCTTCAGAATCTTGTCACAAACTGTCTTTATTCAGACTACTGCTCCTCTAAAGAAATCCTCTGCTCCAGCTCAGCTATTTTGCTTACCATCCTTTTTGTTCTACTCATACTGTTTTTCCTCTCTTTCTCACTCAGTGGCTCATTCATTCAGTGATCATTTATGGAGGCCTACCAAAGGAGGAAATACTAATACTAATACTCCTTCATAAGTAGAAATGTTAAGATAACTGGAACAAAGAGAATATTGAGTTATCTAGGTCTCTCCTACTTTTAAAATTCAATTTGGTTTGACAAGTATTGATAAAATGACACCAGGGATATACAGACAAAAATGAAAAGAGATGCTGCCCTTAAGGGGTTTACATTCTTCTGGTATTTATAAACCTATGAAACACCAATAGTGGGCAAGGATCTGGTATACTAGGGATCAGCACCTTCTTCTCTGGTTTGTTGAAAATAGTTTTAGTGAACAAAGTAAAAGAACAACACGATAAAATGGGAAGAGAAATTAAATAAATCTTCCTGGGGAGAAGTAAGTTTACAGAAAAATGAAAAAGACAACTGAAACGATGAATAAAGAAAAAAGAAAAAAAAAGGCACACAATACATAAACATTTGGGAGAGAGGTAAAAGAAAGTGAGAAGTCTCCAGAAGGATAAATAATGCAACAATAAGACACCAAAAGCAAAAATAAACCTACTCCAAGTACCTTTGGAGTATTCAATAAAATTAACAATGTTCTACACATAGTAAGTAAAGGAGGAACAAAGGAAGGAAAGAGGAGAGGAGGCAGAGAGGGGAAGGAAGAAAGAATGAAGGGAAAGAGAAGGGGAGAGGAAAGGAAAACAAAAGAGGAGAGAAAATGGTAAAGCATAGGAGAAGGAAGAGAAGAAGAGAAGAAAGGAGACGCGAAAGGAGAGGAGAGGAAAAGAGGGGAGGAGATGGGGAAGAAGAGGAGATGGGAAGGAGAGGGGAGAAGAAAGGAGAAGAGATAGAGAAGGAGTGGAGAAAGAGGAAAGGGAAAGGAGAGGGAATGGGGAAGGAGCGGGGAAAGGAAGGCAGAAGAAAGGAGAGGAGAAACGAAGAGAGATTATACCACTTGTTTTTGTAATTTCTTCTTGATCAGGTACAAAAGCATGCATCAGTATGGCCTATGTACCACTGACTTAACTCATACTGTTGATCCTAAATTTATCTGCCTGTAACAATAGCTTGTTATCTGACCCTGCCTCATGTCTAAAACACTGTGCCCAGCATCTTGCTGTTTTATATATGCCCAACCACTCTCTTCCACTTGAATTTCTTAGGAACTATCAGCCCTACCTAACTTCTTCTTGTTCCAGTTTCCAAGACTTTCCTTTTGACTAGAATATTCTCTCTCTACCTATCATCTGGTACAGACTGAGACTACCTTCATGTATTGGGACCAGTAAATATGCTTTTCTTCTCATCCTAACTTCCTCCTCAATCACCCAAAATACAGTGAAGTTAAAATTTACATCAGAAAAAAATAAAATCCACTGCAAATTACCTAGAACAGATGAGTTGTTTTTCTGGGTGCATAACAAAAGTCTCTTGCAATTTCTTCTAGATACTTGCAGCCAGCTTTCTGTATCTTCCAAGTCAAAACCTGGTACATTGCTGAAAACAACACCCACACCTGAGCGTTCACTCTTCTTAAAATGTAAGGTAACATTAATATATAAAGGAACATAGAATATCATAAGACTATAGACTTTTAGCATAAATCTATGACTCTATTTGTACATACAAATTGAGGCAGAATATCCTTTTACCATTTTTAAATGTTTTCCCTGTTGAAACAAAGTATATTAGTTGCATTTTAAAGCATTACAATCAATATTGGTTATGGAAAGTCAAATAATGTTGGACTACAACACCCTTGCCCCAAAGGATTTTTAAAGTCTGAGATGAAATTTAGGAGTGATAAATGCAAAGTCCTGCACTTAGACTCTAAAACTCAACTGTGCAGGCACAGGATGAGAGTGACATAGGTTAGAAAATAGTCCATGTAAGATAACCAAGCATTTTTGATGGACAACAAGTACTATCTGAATAAGTGGCCTAATAGCCCCAAAAAGCTAATGAAATCTGCATAAATAGAAGCATACTGTCTAGAATATGAGATATGATTTCATTCCACTTTTCCCTGGAGAGAACACATCTGAAAGTGTCCAGTTCTAAGGGTTACAGTTTGGAGGAGACACTGATAAGCTGCATCATGTTCATAGGTCAGCGACCAGATAAAGAGTGACTCATCCAAAAAAAAAAAAGAGTGACTCAAAATCATACTATATATGTATTAGTTGGAAAAATTGATCTCATAGTATTCTAAGATTATAGATTATCTATTCCAACTCATTTCGTAGATAAAGAGACCAAAGTCCTACATGACTGAAAGGAAGCCTGGTAGAGTGGAATGAACACTAGACTTGGAGGTATGAAAACCTAGGTTCAAATCCCACCTCAGATACCTAATTTTTTTTTGCTCCTAGGCAAGTCATTTAACTCCTCGCAGGCTCCCATTCCTCATCGGTAAAGTGAAAATGAAAATAGCAGCAGTGCTCTGTGTGTGTGTGTGTGTGTGTGTGTGTGTGTGTGTGTGTGTATGGCAGGCCCAGGATTTAAACACCTTTTCATTGGTGAATTGTATCCTTTCCACTATTAAATACTTTTTCTCATTTGGAGTAAGAGATAGCATGGTGAGAGACATCAGGCCAAAGCCCCTGCCCCACCTCAGTTTAACTTGGAAGAGAAAAGACATGACAAAAAAAAAGGAGGTAAAGAGAAAAGACAAAGAAGGGGCATGATGGCTGTCTTCAATATTTGAAGAGTTACCATGTGGAAGAAGGATGCCATTAAGTTTGCTTGGCTGCAGATGGCAGAATGAGAACAATTGACAGAAATTACAGAAAGGCATTTTTCAGGTCAATGTACTGTAAAGGAAATATCCCCAAGAATGAGAAACAGAATGAGCTGCCCCAAGGGAGGTAACAGGTTACTCGAGGTATTCAGATAAGTGTCAGGCACAGTATGACCACTAGTTGGATATTTCCCCATGGGATGCTTCAGGTAGAATTTGGACAAGGTGGTCTCTTAATTCCCTTCTAAATGCAGTTCTGTGATCCTGGAGCCTGGTCAAGAGTAGAGTAGTTGATATAGAAAGGGGACTTAATACCATGCGATGCAAGCACTACTTGAAAGAACTGAGGATTTTTTACCTGGAAAAGAAAAGGCTTTGGTAAGGCAAGAAGGCAGAAAGCATTTATCAAGTACTTACATATTTCACCACATGATCATCACAGATTTTATGCCAATTTTTTTTAAAGTGGAGTGTAACCATTATGTGAAGCTTTTAAAATTGTACTGGTATTACTTAAAGATCATTTATTACTAAACTGCATCACTGACAGACAAGCTGTACAGTTTAGCTAGTGAGGAAAGATGCAAGTCTTACCATATCACATGACTTACTCACAGCAGCTTCACCTACTTCCCTTGTGCCTAACAGCTCTTCATTCGGTTAAGTGACAATACCGTTAGTACTGCAGTGCTCTAAATAAACCACGCACGTCGGCTTTCAGAAATATACTGACAATGTGCCTGCACTGAGAATTCTAGAGTTCAGGCTCACAACAGGCAAGAGATAAATGCATGTCCATATAGCTCTGGTGAATACATTACTGCTCTGTTTACCTCTTAAGCGGTGTGACAAACAGAATTATACTATGTGACAATTACATGATAAAAGGTTATAAACCAATTTTTGGACTGGAAAAACAAGGTTTGACAATTATTAGGTGGTGATGATTATGTGATAAAATACTCAGGAGGACCTGAGTTCAAATCCAACCTCAGACCAGACATTTAACACTTACTAGCTGTGTGACCCTGGGCAAGTCACTTAACCCCAATTGCCTCACCCCAAAAAGAAATTAAAAAAAGAAAGAAATACAGTACTACATGCCAGGCACTGGAGATGCAAATATAGTATAAGCAAAAAGAAAGACAATTCCTGTTCTCAGGAAGCTTCCATTCTAATAGTGAAGACAGCACATAAAAGGGAACTGAAAAGAGAGTGGGGAGTAAGAGGAAGAAGGTACCCTACAAGGGGAGGGGAGAAGGATGGTGGCAAAGCTCAAATAGTCAGAACCACAATTAGGAGGGGAATGGAGCATGGCTGGCCTGGACCCATCACAAAATGAAGCCCCTGAAGAACAACTCACTAATGGAAGAAAGAGACTAATATAACAGAGGGATGATTAGCCCCTTGGCTTTTGATAGCTGTTGAAGCATTGTATTTGAAGCATTGACTGTCATGTAGAAGAGGAATTATATTTCTCCTGCTTAGCCTCACAGGGCAGATTGCAGCTATGTTCTTCAATACCTCTGTCTATCCTTTGTTATACTATCCTTGTAAAGGACACTAGGTATAACCGCTGCACAACTCTAAGTCTTGTAAGAACAAATCCATAGAGCAGGGCCGAGTTGCCCAGAGAAAGAGGATGTGGTAATACTGTATAGTGTTCAGACCAGTCCCCCTGGCCACTTATTATAGAAAGGCAGGTCATAGATCTGTCAATACTTCTTTGGCCCAAGGTAATTTCTTATATCCCTTGTGAGTACCTACCAAGGTTACTGTTTGAGAGAACCTACGACTTCATCCTTGCATCGTAGAGCCCGAGACAAACAGGGAGATCCAGCAATAATAACAATCCTTCCTTTTATGTTCTTATATTAGATACGGGCAGCACAAGTTTATGTACCTGTACTACAAATGGGCAGCACTAGATGGAGGGCCAGCCTTGGAGTGAGGATGACCTCTGATCTTTACTGATTATATGCCCCAAAACGAATCACTTAACTTCTCAGTACTTTGCATTGCATAAGAGTTGATGTGCATTGATAGAGGGAATTTCCCCAACAGGAGTTCTCTGAACTAATGAAATCATAAGTCCAGGCCTAAAAATAATAAAGAAAAGGAAGATGAAGAATCTTATCATTAGTAGAATGTATTTTCTTGTGGGGAAAATCCCTTTACTGATGAAATCATGGGTCCAGATCTACCCCCAAAAAACAGTGTACACAAGGCACAGATACAAATCATGCCCCAAGAAAGGTCCTAAATCTCTCCAAAGACATCATAGCAGATAGATAAAAAGATCCTTAGTAATTGCTGTGGCCCACTTGATGAAATGACAATAATAAAGAATATATTAGCCCAGTTTTTAACATATTGACATAGGTTGAAGTGGGGTGGGAGTCAGGGGATGGAGGCCTAAATGTGAATGCTGGGTAGAATCATAGTTATTAGAGCTATAAAGGACCTTAGAGATCTAGTCCACTTGATGAGAAGCGTGAAATTTAGGCTAAGGAATTTGCCTGAGGTTACCCTATAAGCAAATTGCAGAAGTGAGACTTAAATCCAAGTGTCCAGATTCACTTTCCAGTGCTCTTTCTGCTGTGTCATTGTGTTGTCCACCTTGGGGTGTCATTAGTGAGAGTGAACTTCAGTATAATTTCATGCATGCTCCAGTTAATCATTACAAGTTTCTGAAGGCCTTCCAGGTAAAAGTATCTGAGTACCTCCAGAGTGTGATGATGTCAAGAGGAGGAGGAGGAGATAAGCAGGAACTCATTCTATGAACTAATGCAGTCTTTCCCGAGTAGGAGGGAGTTGAAGAGAAGAGTTCATAAGTGACATAGGGAAGAGAAGATATATCTTCAAAGCTCTGACAGAGACAGAATGTTCTGAATTGCTTTTTATGAAGTATAAAAAAATTGCTTAAGAGGATCCATATACCCAGGTTAATATTTTAAGAACCTTAAAAATGATACACTGAGTCAGATCCATGGCTCATCTAGCTCAGGATTCTGCCTCTCACAGTGACACCAAGGGACAACCATAAAAGGATATTATTAGAGGCAGTGTGGTGTAGTGGTTAGAGAGCCAGCTGTGGAGTAATGAAGACCTGGGCTCAAAGTTCTGCCTTTGGCATATATTGACTATGTGATCCTAGGCAAGTCCCTTAACCTTTCAGTGCTACAGGCAATTCATCGTGACTATAAATGCAAAGCAGAAGCCCATCTGGACTCAGGAAGAATTTCCTCGGTAGAGGTTTGCTATGGAAATGAAATACAGTTCTAGGAAAGATAGAAAGGAAGAAAGAAAGGAAGAAAGAAAGAAGAAAGAAAGAAAGAAAGAAAGAAAGAAAGAAAGAAAGAAAGAAAGAAAGAAAGAAAGAAAGAAAGAGAAAGAAAGAGAGAAAGAGAGAGAAAGAGAGAAAGAAAGAGAAAGAAAGGAAGGAAGGAAGGAAGGAAGGAAGAGAGAAAGAGAGAAAAAGAAGGAAAGAAGAAAGAAAGAAAGAAAGAAAGAAAGAAAGAAAGAAAGAAAGAAAGAAAGAAAGAAAGAAAGGAAGAAAGGAAGGAGGGAAGGAATCTTTTGCAAAAAAGAGAGCATTATTTTCCTCCTTGATAGCAGCATGTATTAGTAGAAAGAAGCCTAGTTTGGGAGTCAGAAGAATTCAGTCTGAGTCCCAAATCTACCTGTGTGACCTTCATCAATTCACTTAACCTTGCTGATTCTCAGTTTCTAAAACTGTAAAATGAGGATGGTAATAACCACTTTAAGAGGCATTGGGACATGGTGGATAGAGTTAGGAAGAGCTTGGGTCAAGCTTTACCTCTGCTACATCAGTGACCCTAGACAAGTCATTTAACTTCTCAGGGCCACCAGACAACTCTCTAAGACAATGAGTTGCAAAATAGTCAATGGAGTTTCCTGAATTAATAAAAATCATAATTCCAAGCTTAATAGTAATAGTGAGAAGGAAGAGGAAGAACCTTGTAAACTCACAAGGATGTTGAGATGATCAGATGAAATCCAGTCTATGAAAATAAACATAAAGTGATGTATTGTTGTGAACTTGAAGAAGTTAGGGGGTGTCCCTAAATATGCTAATTTCTCTTAAAATGGATTTTCCATGAGTTTGAGTTGTCCAAACACCTTCTTTTGAGCCTTTTTTTGCGTATTTTTTCCCAGCTCTTAACACCACCTCTTGGTGTAGTAAATTCCGTAAATGAACACTTACCCTATAAAGTTAGGGTTCCCTTTATGTGTTCTAAATTTATCTCTTCCTAGCTTGAAGAAGAATCTTTGCTTCTAGAGCTATGATTCCAAGATTTGGTGAATAACATTAATGAATTAAGAAACTTCATACCCTCCTATATAGCCTTCATCTTTCCAAACTTGTCTTTTCAGTCTGTTCTCATTTTGCAGAATCTCAGAGTTGGAAAGAACCTCAAAGTCCAGCTAGTCTAATTAGTATCTGGCCAAGTGTCTCCTCCATAAAATCTGTTCAAAGTGGTCATCTATAAACCAGAATAAACCCACTACCTCCCAAAGCACCTTTTTCAATTTCTGGATGACTTTAACTATTGGAAGTTTTTCTTTTCTGTGTAAATCTGCTTTGACAGTTTTCACCAGTTAAGAAGAGACAGCTTGGTGAAACAGATGGATTCTAGGCCCTGAAGTCAGAGCATGTGGGTTCAAATATGACCTCAGTTTCCTCATCTCTAAAGTGAGAAGGTTGAACCAGAGATTCATGAGGTCCCTTCCAGCTCTAAACCTACCCTTATATTCCTAGTTCTGCCCTCTGGAGCCAAGCATCACAAGTCTAATGTATCTTCTATAGGACTTTTAAACGTCCTACTCACCCATACGCACCCCCAATCCTCAAGGCTTTTCTTCTCAGGTTAAATATCTCTATTTCCTTCAAATAATCCTCATCTAACATGATCACAAGAACCTTCAGTGTCCTAGTCTACTCTTCTGGGTGCTCTCCAGCTTATTAATGTCTCTCCCAATATGTGGGACCCAGCACTAAGCATAGTATAAGTACTCTGGGATGAGGAGGTAGGGAGTAGGAAGCAAGATGACTAGCAACTTCTATACCATTTACATCTATAGTCCAATTTAATGATCATAGCCTTTCATGATGATGTCTGTAACGATTTCAAGATTCTCATTCATTAAAGGAAGAGACAAATTTTTCTCATATACTGACAAAAACAAAAGCATAAAAAAAACTTGATAGAATTTAGAAAAGCTTTCAGTACAGCTTGAAGCAAAACCAAGTATTTGATTAATCTACAATTAAGCAGAACATTCTTTTCAGAATATTTCTAATTATTCAGGTATTTTGTTGTTGTTGTTGTTATTGTTGCTCTCCAAAATATGGACGGAATGGATGATTTGTTTGGGGCGTTGTCTTTTAAACAGATGCCAGAATCCCAACCCTGGAACCAGACACTATGCATCCCCGGCTACGATTATCTGATGACCGTTTGACTGTGACCTGTGTTTTGATTGGCAAGATTCAATTATGTAATCCCCAGAGGTTTGATAAACTATGGCAGGTGCTGAGCCGGGACTCTTTCTTCTCTGGGAGTCATTACTGGGAGGTGGATTTACTCAAGTCTGGGATAGGGTGGTGGATAGGGGTGGCCTATTCTTCTATTGGACGCAAAGGAGATTCTGAAGCTAGTCGCTTGGGGTTTAATAGAGAATCTTGGTGCTTAAAAAGATTTGATCTGGAATACTGGGCATTTCATAATGGAGAAAGGACACGAATACCAATAGATCACGATCCTGAACGGATTGGAATTTTCCTGGATTACGAGGCTGGAATTCTCTCTTTTTATGATATAACATGTGGTATGACACAGTTGCACACATTTTACTCAAAGTTCCAAGAGCCACTTTATCCAGCACTGAGGCTATGGGAAGGATCAATAACCATACGTAAACTGCCATAGGGCCCCCCTAATCCCGGGAAATGATTGGTCCCAGTGTAAGGATAAAGGATATGGGAAGGAACTCTCTTTGCAGACATATGGCTGATGCTATGATGATAACAATAAAAATGATCATTAACATTTGTGTAGCAATTTAAAGTTTGCAAAGTGGTTTATGTATACAGTATTTCATTTGAACCTCACAATAACCTTATGAGGTAGAGACTCTCGATATCATTATCCCATTTTACAGATGAGGAAATTAAGGCCCAGTGACATGGTCACACAGCTAAAGTATCAGAGGAGAAATTTGAAGCCAGGTCTCCCTAACTCCAAGTTCAGCATTCTATGCCCTGTGCTTTCCTGAGAGTAGGGACCTCGAACCCACTGGCTATTTTTCAGCCCCCTACTACCCTTCATCCTTTTGTCCAATCAAACATATAATCAGATGAACAAGTCTCTGTGAAGAAAAACAAAGATTTGAACAGTATTGGTACAAATAGATTTTGTGATATGTTTACAGCAAACATGAAGTTTGAAGCCATTGCTTTAGGGAACCAGGCTATATAGGCATATGGGTATGTCAAGTGGGGTAGTAACTCTCGGGATGCTAGATTTTGTGATATGTTTACAGCAAACATAAAGTTTGAAGCCATTGCTTTAGGGAACCAGGCTATATAGGCATATGGGTATGTCAAATGGGGTAGTAACTCTAGGGATGCTAGGTAGTAATGTTTATCACTACTAAATAGTAGTAATACTAACAACTATTAGCATTAACATTACTAGTTATTATACTAGGTAGTAATGATAATGCTAGGCAGCAATATTTATTATAACTAATAGAAATATTACTAACATTACCATTAATGTTATTATACTAGGTGGTAATGCTAATGCTAGGTAGAAATGTTAGGGGATAAAACAAAAAGGATTAAAAGAGATTAGGCCCAGCATATTCAATCCATAATGTGCTTCTTAAACTGTGGGTACCAACCCCATATGGGGTTGCGACCCACAATTTAAGAAGTGCTAAAGGGATTTTGAGTGGAAAAAGTTTAAGAAGCCCTGAATTATTAGACCTTGGCAGGGTGCAGAGTACTTAGCTTAACCTTGGTCCTGGAATGGATATATCGCTGCTTTATGCTGATGTTTTATTCAGCTAACCAAATTGCTTATGTAGATAGAAGGAGACACCAGAAATGTGATATTGTACCAGGACTATCAGTAGTTTATGTAACTGTACACTAGAAACTAAACAGAGAGTTTAAAATGTAACCAGTCCTAGATTAAGGGACTCTTGGGTATGGGTCATTCTAATTAGGGATGCTGGGATCTGCCAAGCTGATGAGCAAATCAGGAAAATTAAGAAGAAGCCCTTCCACAGGAAAGCAGGTGTACCAATTTTTTTTTTTTGTGATGCACAGTTTCTACAAGGGACTTAATGGCTTTTGATCTTTACTCATTCAGGACTCCCAACCTGGGCAAATAAATGGCAAGACCTGATTCAATAAAGCAAGTGATTCTTTCTTATGTCTTGAAACCTAATGTGTCATATTCCTTAGCTTTCTAAAATGGAGAAGTTGCACACATGTGGCTTAAGGTTACTGTAGATGCCCAAATTGTAGGTTTTACTATCTGCCGAGCACTTATAAGAAAGAGCCTGTCTCAACACAAAAAAGAAAGAAAAACAAAAATAAAATGAAAAAATTAAAACAACTAAACAAAATAAAGGGAAAAGTGAGCTTTCCCTCTCAGAGGAAAAGTCTAATCCCAAATTAGCAACCAGAGTACGTGGAGCTCTCCTAGCCGGGATTAGATTCCTAATCTGTGGGTCAACTGAAAGACCTCACCATACATACATGCACACACACCCAAGTGAGAAACCAAACCACTTTGGGTGAAAATTCTAGCACAGAGGACAATCCCAGTTGGGATAACAGTTTACCCAGTGTATCATGGACCAGCGTACAGAGCAAGTCAAATAAAGGCCTAGACAAAATTTCTCCACAGGTCCCCTACAGCATGCAGAACTCTCTAGTTTTCTCCACATTAACAGGGCATTTCAAATAAAAGTCCAAACCCATCTAATTACAGGACAAGCATATTGGCTCAAAAAGAAAGCAAAGTCAGATGAGCCCCAAACACATGTAGGGCTCCCAAAAGAGGATTTAGTGTTCACGGTTGATGAGAATCAGCCTTTCAGATCCTGGAAGATGTCCCCAAATGTAACAACTAATTTCACAGGAGACTTTAAGGTACCTCCTTCCACTGAGGAGAGCATGCTTTGTCCTCTGGCCTGTGGACTAATGATTGGTCAGAGCCTTTAAGTCTTTTAAAAGTTATTTTTCTTTGCAATGTTGTAGTTATTGTATAAATTGTTCTCAAGGCTCTGCTCATTTCATTCTGTATCAGTCCATAACTAGCTGTTGTCATCATCTGAATCCATCTCTTTCACCATTTCTTACAGTCCAATAATAGTCCATTATATTCATATACCATATTTTCTTCAGTCGTTAACTAATTGATGTATACCCACTTTGTTTCAAGTTTGTTGTTGCTATCAAAAGTGCCACTATGAATATTTTTATACATATAAGTCCTTTCCCTTGTCAACCCTGAAAACAAATAACCAAGAGTCACAGGGGTTTTACAACTGCTATTAACTCTAAAAATACCGAAGAACTCTCACAGGTTATCACAACCACAGTTAAGTCAGAAAAATCAAATCAAAAGAAAACAAAATAAAACCAAAGAGCTAATAGTGGTCACAAACAAAAAGCTTTCTTTATTCCATTGGAAGAGGGAAACTAGACACGTGTGTCAGGCCCTCCTGTAGTAGGAGGCACACTTCAGTGTGGGCAAATCTCAACACATATACTAGTGACTACTTAGTGAGCTGTAGCCCTGACAATGAGGGGTAACAGTTACAATGAGACAAGTTTGACTCATGGCAGGGCTTCATGACCAGGATGTGGTTACTGCAGGTACTTGTCCTAGATTAGAAACCATGTGGTGCTGGTGTGAAACAATTCTGGGATTTGGGGCAGCTGAGTTCATCCAGAGGGTGAGAACAAAGAATTGTTATGCCAAGCCAAGGGCACAGCTTGTTTGCTGGGACTTAGCTCTGGAAAACAGGGTGTCTCCCAATAGTAAAAAGAGAGGGGTGGTCGTGGTATGGGGATCTTGACACCCTCTTTTATCTTTTTAAAGAACAGGCCTAATAGTAGTATTGCTGAATCAAAGCATGGGCACAATTTAATGGGTTTTTTTGCTATGGTTTTTTCAGTTGTTTTCTATAACAGCTAAACCAGTTCACAACTCCAACAATGGTTCATTAGTGTGCTTAATCTTCCATCTCCCATATGCCCTCCAACAATAGTTTGTTTCCTTTTTTGGTCATCTTTGCCCATCTGATAAGACTGTGGTGGAACCCCAGGGTTTTAATTTATATTTCTCTTACTAATTGTTTGATACATTTTTTCACATGGTTGTTGACAGCTTGTTTTCATTCTTTCGAGAACTGCCTATTTATAACCTTTTACCATCTGTCTATTGACAAGTGATTCTTGTTCTTATACATTTGAATCAGTTTCTTATGTATCCTTGACATCATACCTTTATCAGAGAAACTTGCTGCCAAGATTTTTTTCCCAGTTAACTATTTCTCTTCTAATTCTAGTTGCATTGATTTTGTTTGTGTAAAAGCTTTTCAATTTTATATAAACACTGTCCATATTAGTTCCTGGGATCCTCACTGTCTTTTGTTTGGTCAAGCATATTTTCCCTCCAAATTCTGAAGCAAATTACAGCATACCAAAAAATTTCTTTTAAAGAAAATGGAAGCTGCCTTTAATATAGCACTCCTTAGTGTATGTGACTACCCCTTGTAACAGAGGAATCAGTGAAACACTTACTGTTCTCCATAAGGGAAATTGTTTAAGCTGGTATCAGATCTGTCCATTTTGACACCTTGGAATGATGCAAATTCAGCAGAGGTTCTGGCTAAGTTCTCTTTAATCCACCTAGCCCAGTATTGACCCAGTTATTGTAAAATTTAGTAAGTTTATCAATGGATGGGGAAAAGTGGTCAAGCTAAACTTCCACTTTAGGAGATGGATATTAGAGGTACCTCCAACACTCCCATTTCTACCCCCAGAGCTCCATGAAAGGGGAAGCCTTTCATATAGGCAGAGGTTAGCTTTATTACTTCTAGTTAGCCCAAGAACAAACTTGTTAAATCCCTGGCCTCTAAAGACAGATACTGAAGGGCAATTAAAAGGGAATAAAAATTCTCCTAGGGAAAAGTGGGCAAATCTCAATCCAAGAGACAAAAATAGCATCTATCCTAGATCAAACCAAAAGTTGATCAGATTATCAAATCTGACAGGTGAGGAAAGAGACAAGATTTGCAGCAGTAAATCCAAAATCCAATTGTCAGCACAGATTTTAACTCTCAAAACCTGAAACAACAACAATAACAACAACAGGCAAAACCAGTAAGCGGCATTGGTATCAGGCATCAACGAGATGAGTGTTAGTTCTTGTGCTCACCTGCTCAAAACAATGTTCACATATGGCAATGGTGTGCCAGCTATGACCCCACCTCAAATAGAAGTTCTTAACCTGGAGTCCATGAACTTCCTTTGAGTGTGTGTGTGTGAGTGTGTGTGTGTGTGTGTGTGTTTCATTTTGATAACTGTACTTCAATGCAATTGGTTTCCTTTTTAGTCTTACGTATTTTATTTTATGTATTTAAAAGCATCATTTGGAGGAAAAGGCCATTGGCTTCACCAGACCACCAAAGGCATTCATGACACAGAAAAGATTAAGATCTCCTCCTGTATAACATTACCATTGCCATGGTACTCTCAATGATAGTCTTGATCTTCACCTAGGGAAGCCCCAGGAGTAACAGAAGCTCTTCATGAAGATTTTCTTACACCTTAAATTTCTTTTAATATTGTTGATTAATATTCTAAATTTCTCTCTGGAATTCTGAGATGTTTATGGAAGGATATGGCAACAAAGCTCCTCCAGAGTGACGGCTTACCACCTTCACACAAATGGATTGATAAAGGCTTTACTGGTCCCCTCTCTCCAGTTAGATTGTAGGCTCCTTGAAGGCAGGGACTATCTTTTGCCTCTTTTTGTATCTCCATTACTTAGCACAGTGCCTGGTGCATAGATGGTTAATAAATGTTTATTGATTAATTGATTGATTGAAAATAATTATGTGAACATATATGAGCATAAATAAGAATGACTGGGATGATAAGCTGCTCTCTTTGCAGCTTGCCTATTGGGAGGCTCCCTAAAAACCCTGTGCCCAGGGTGAGGCACTGTTCTTTGGTGACAGGGAACTGAGCTCAACCACTGGGCTAAGATATGTAACTCAAGGCTGAATTTGGAACATATCAGATGTTTTAACTGATCCACTCTAAGTTTAAGCTTTGGAGTAGAACAGTACCCAACCCGCACAATCAACCCACATACCTGAAGGATATAGACAGACCATGCAGGCTCTCCACCTCACTGAAGGGATTGAAGGGATTGATTTCCAAGCCCCACAAATAGAGGAAAGTGTAGTAGAACACTAGACCACCACAGCAGAGCTACCATACTGCTCTGCAAACCTTTCTTGGATATTTGCTCTCATATTTTCCTAAACAATTCATGTGAATACTATCAGACATCTACTGGGTGAGCACAACTAAATATTTTACTTGCTAACTCAAGTACAGGCAAAATTGTCAGAATTAAATCTCCAATGCATAGTATTCTGTTCCCTCACTATCAAAAATAGGGAGCTTAACCAAGAGAAAGGTTAGGGGTACATCATAGCTAGCTTTAAATATTTGGAGGCCTATCATGTAGCAGATGAATTCAATTTGTTCCAGTTGGTCCTGGGGCCAACACTAGAAGCAATAATGAGAATCAATTGCAGAGAAGTAGATTTAGGTTAGATGTAAGGGAAAACTTCCAAAGAATTAGAGTTATCCTCTAATGGGCTGCCTTGGGCCTCTTTCCAATTGAGGACTACAAGGCAAGAGTTAGATGACTACTTGTTAGGAATGTTGTATTGTTTTTGTTTTTGTTTTTAGATATGGGTTGACTAGATGATCTCTGAGGTTCCTTCAACCTCTGAATTTCTATTATACTATCATTAAAAAAGCAACACAGATCATATCAAAGCAAATTATGATCAACACCATCCTTACCTAGGTCCTCCTTTTATGTAGTTTCCCAAACCTAATGGGTTCATCTAGTTATTTGTAGATCATAGGAAAATAAATACCACAAAACCACATCCATATTCCAGTGACACCATTTTGGAATTATATAAGCCTCTCCCTACCTCTAATCTTTTCTCCTTTTCAATCTGTCCTACTCACAGCTATTCCAATCATACTAACTTTAAAACTTTGAGTAGATCCTTAAATTAAGTCCAAGGTTTCCACAAATATGACTAACCTAACTTACAAGTCTTACTCCTATTATTCATTGTCATGCAATTTATAAGCTAGACTACTTATTCTTTCCTGATCATGCTATCTGTCCTACCTCCATGCCTTTACTTGTTCTGTCTCCCACCTAGAATTTGTTTCCTTCCTCTGCCCCAATCTTTACCTGTACTTCTTTCAAAATTCTTTGCATGTGTTGGCTCTTCCATGATTTCTTTCCTGATCTTTCCAACCAGACATGATCTCTCTCTTCCCTCATAGCACTTATCCTCTTTTTATGGCATTTATCTTACAAGTTTAGGACTGAGGGTAGACAAGGTAAGTAGCTAACTCTAGAATATAGTACACAGCGGGTCACTGGGGAATAAGCCTTATGTTACTTTTTATGATTACATATATTTCTAATTCCAGAAAATCCTACTTTAAATGGCAGTTTTTTGCTTCTAACATAAATCAAGTTGCATTTGATATAGGGAAGGTGCAAAGCCTTGGGTAGATAAGCAAAATAGGCTTGCTTAGAAAGTAACAAATATGTCTAGTTATTTGTGAACTTATCCTCCTATCAGATTGTAAACTCCTTAATGGCAGGAATTATGTTTTATATGTCTTTATATTTCCCATAGAGAGGCAACATGATGTAATGGACATCAGCCATGTAAGCCATGAAGGAAGGCCTTCTTGGAAGGAAGGCCTTCAAATCCTGCCTCAGACACATACTGGCTATGTGACCCAGGGGAAGTGACTTAGCATTTTAGTGCTCCAGGAAACTCTTTAAGACTTTAGGCTGCACAAGTAGGTCTATATCCCAAAAGAGATTTTTTTTAAAAGGAAAAGGACCTATGTATGCAAAAATTTTTATTATTGGCAAAAAAACCAACAAACTGGAAATTGAGGGGATGACCATCAATTGGGGAATGGCTGAACAAGTTGTGGTATATGATTGTGATGGAATACTATTATAAGAAATGATGAGCAAGATGCTATCAGAAAAACCTGAAAAGACTTACATGAACTGATGCAAAGTGTAGGAGAACATTGTACACAGTAATAGCAATATTATAAGATGGTCAACTGTGAATGACTTAGCTATTCTCAGCAATACAGTGATCCAAGACAATCTCAAAGTACTCATGATGAAAAATGCTATCCATCTCCAGAGAAATAATTGAATATAGATCAAAGCATGCATTTTTAATTTTCTTGATTTTTCTTGGTTTTTCTTTTTTGGTCTATGTTTTCTTTTACAACATGACTAATATGGAAATGTTTTACATGACTACACATGCATAATCTATATCAAATTGCTTGCCAATTCAATAAGCAGAGTGGGGAGGGAGAGAATTCAGAACTCAGAATTTTAAAAATGAATGTTAAAAATTGTTTTTACATATAATTGAGGAAAAATAAAATGCTAAATAAAATTTTTAAAAAACTTTAGGCTGCATCGTAATTCCAGAGGACTCATGATAAAACATACACCCACCTCCTGACAGAGAGGTGATGATGTCTCAGAGTTCAGATTAAGACATTTTTTGTGGGGCGGGGGAGGGGAAAGGGGGGAATCTGTGGGAATCTGTTTTGCTTAACTATGCATATTTGTAACAGGAGTTTTTTTTCTTACTTTTTCTGTGGCAAGAGGTGGAAGATGGGAAGCAGAGTAAGCTTGTCTTCATTTGCAAATATGAGCCCTGTTTTTAAGGGACTCGAATTCTAATGGGAGAAGAAATTAACCTGCATTGGTAGAGGGAGTGCCCTCACCTAGGGAATATCTTATATCAGTGAAACCACTGGGCCTGCCCTTGTCTCTATTCTAATATTTCCCGAAGACCTAAGCAGTATATCCCACATAATAGCCACTTAGCAGATTCTTGTATAATTGAATTGATTTAAATAGAATAGAAGACAGGGAGAGTCCATATAGGGAAACTAACAGGCTCATTTTCTATCTAGCTCATTCTCAGACCATGAGGGAAACCACATTCTATTTCAATTTTACATTCATTTGCATCTGTAACTGTAACATCATTCTCACGACATGCATATACATATATGGTTATAAACTCCGAACTCCTACCACTAGATTTTCAATGTGGGTTATCCTTTGTGTATTCTGCAAGCAAATCCAGAAATGAAAGCATTTGCTAGATAGAATGGGATAAATTAAGATATTCAGATTATTCGAGAGTAGTTTTCAAGGGAAAAATAAATAAATGCATAATTTAACATCTCGTAATTTGCCTGAGCTGCTTCTTCTGAGCAGTAATTGAAAACAAGGTAACTGAAAACGTCATCTGCAAGGAAGCTATTTGGAGCAAACCTAAATGTTCCTTTAAAAAAAAAATCATTGAATATGCTGAAATAATTGTATTTAAAGAAAAATCAAAAAAAGACAAAAGAAAAATCATCTGCCACACATGCAATTTCAAATCCTTGAAACGTTTAGCTTTTGAAGGCTATTTTCCGCTTTCTTTTTTTTTTATCACAAAGCACGTTCGCAATGATTTTTCTTTTTTTGCACGCTTTTAGGACAAAACCTGGGTAGATTGACAGGTCTCTCAGTGACCGGTTTTATGCGGTAAATACGCCCCATTCCTTGGTTCCTTTGTGTTCAATCTGAATTTGCTAGGGAGGGATTTAGAAAAAAGGAGAGGGTATGAAGCAGAGGGAGCCCAGTGAGGAGGGGGGAGGAGGGACCGGGGGCGGGGGGATAAGGGAGGGGACCTGAGGAGGGAGAAGAAAGGCGAGGGGGCTGCGGCTGAGGCTGCGGCTGGGGCTGCGGCTGAGGCTGCGGCTGCGTCAGCGTTGCCTAGAGAGAGAGAAAGGCAGACAGAGCCCCGGAGCCGGTGCAGCCACCCGGCGGTACCAGCTCCTCGGCGGGCTCTTTTTCCTCGCTGCCATGATCCAACTGCCCCTGCTGCCCCTTCTACATTGCCTGGGCTGCAGCGCCTGGCTGCTGCTGCTGGCGGGGCCCATAGCCTCGTCGGCCAGCCCAGCCGACGACAGCGCCAGGAGAGGGGACTCCTCAAGCTCGGGGAGCGACGAAGTGCAGCGCCAGCCGCACGATTCGTCGTACGGCACCTTCGCCAGCGAGTTCTATGACCTTCGCTACTTGTCCGAGGAGGGTGAGGCTGCGGGTCCACGGTGGGGGGAATGGGGATGGGGATGGGGGGAATAAAAAGAGGAGAGCAGGACGCAGGGAATGAGGGGGGCTGGGAGTAAGGGATGGGGGGCTAGGAGAAGGAGATGGGGGTTGGGAGAAGGAGATGGGGGTGGGGAGACCACCCGGAGATCACCAGGGACAATGACCTGGGTGGGGGGGGAGCGGAGAAGGGGCAGAAGAGGGACTGGGATAAGGGGAGAGCTGGCCCCGGGGACCTCTGGCTGGGGGAATAGAGGAAAGAGATGTGCTACCAGGGGAGGGGAAAGGGGCAGATGGGAAGGAGTAGGTTAGTGGTACTGGGGATCAGATGCGCTTGGAGCCTCTGTTTCTCTCCCCCCTGCCTTGCTTTCTGTGCTGCGGCGGCGGAGGAGAAAGAGAGGGAGGATGTCGAGCCTAGAATCCTCTGCAGGATTGGCATGGATTGGTTGTTGTCTGGGCTAGCGACAGAGGCTGAGGAGCTAGCTCTAGCTGCACTGACTGAGCCCCACCCCCTTTCCGCAGCCCCCCCAGGGGGCGGTGCGGGAACTGAGGCTAGGTTCACTGCCAGTGTTCTCCCCAAGCCTAATCCAAGCTGCATTTTCATATCCCTTGCTATCAGGATCTTTGGGGAAAATAAAAATCCTATACCTTCCTTGAGCTGTTTTAAAACATCTCATTACAGTATCTTCTTAACATCATGTTGTCATTGTTTTCTCCCTTAGACATCAAATCATATCATCCTTCCCATGCTTCCAACCCCACCTCATCCCCTTTCCCACCAATTTTATCCAGCATTTTTACCCACCTTCGGTGTGTCCTGTCGTCATTCAGGGCTACCAACCCAGCCCTGTTCATCTAGTTGAGATTTCCTTTGTTTGGGTTTTCCCACTAGCGGAGTCTTTGAGAAGGTTGTTTGCCTCAGAGAGTGAGACCCAGCCTGCCCTCTTTATTATGTAAAAGGTATATCCATCTTTACCAAGAATATGGGCAACATTTAGTATTTCCCTGGAATCTTGAAAAATTCCTTGTCTATAAAATATGAAAGAAACAAATTTGAGGTTAAAATGTAGATTGTTGATAACAACAAAGGACATTGATAACCACAAATAATTATCAGAAACAGGTCCATTTCTGAAATTAATCAATAAATAGTTATATTCTATGGATTTAACACACTGCGAGGTGCTTTAGCATACCAAAGACGTGACGTGCATGGCATTGTTCTTATCCACCTAATTAGGGACTGAGACATACCCATAAAACGGTCTATGAACGTGACAAAATTGCATACATGTGATTTTAGGGGGAGGCCAGAACTGTGATTTCATAAGGGACTTCCAAGAAGGAAATTCCCTTTACTAATGTAGATTGGCATTTTTCTATAATTTATAGCTTTAGTTGCCAAAAAACTTAAATGATTTGCCCAGACTGATAATTGTATAATACAGGTAATAGTGAAAAGAACAAAAACATCAGTGTGGACCGGATTAGGAAAGGATTCAAACAGAATATAGGATTGGAGTGAGACATAAGGAATATAGGCTGTTAATGAACAAACAGGATTGGAAAATTCATTTCAGGGAGGTAGAACAACATGAGCAAACACTGGAAGCAGGTATGAAGTGATATGTGATGGGGAGGGAGGGATGCGGAGGGAGGCGGTATACAGAACAAGGAGGGGCTCCTGGCTGGTATGATCCGTTAGTGTTAGAGAATGGTGGGAAATCATTTGGATATGAATACGGCCTCGAAAAGGCAGAAGGCTGTGGATTGAGAGGATTTGGTAAACTGTTGGAAGCCATTTTAGGTTCTTGTTTAGGGGATTGACACGTACAAAGTAGTATTTGAGAAAGAATAATCCTGCAGCAGTGTGTGAGCAGAATTGGAGGAGAATGGAGACTGGAGTCAGAAATACCAGTTAGGAAGCTCTTGGATTATTCTAGGTTCAACTTATTTTTTGGCGATTTCTTTTTCTTGCACTTTATTCAAGGGCAATAGGTACAGGTGATAAGAGAGAGAATTCCAAGCATGGGGAACAGCTTATGCAAAATCATGGAGCTGGAATGTCATATGTGGGGGACAGGAAGAAAGCCAGTTGAACTAAAATGTATTTGAAGAAGAGTGATGTATAATCATCCTGGAAAGATAGGTTGGAACCGGATTATAAAGGACCTTAAATGCCAGATTAACCAGTTTCCAAGGCAACAAGGCAAGAAGGCAAGCATTTATTAAATGCTAACTACAGCTAGATCCTGATTAGCCCTGAAGTGTTTGCTTTATTCTGACTTCAGATTTGCACTGCATATTTCAACTGGTACCATTTGTCATATTTTACATAATTATAAGTTCTAATAATACAAATTCAAATACATATGACCACTTCAGGTGATTCATTATTTATACTAATCAGGATCTAGCTGTATATGCCAGGGACTGTACTAAGCACTGAGGATAGGAATACAAGCAAAAACAAAGACAATTCCTGCCTTTAGTGGGCTTACATTCTAAGGAGGGAACATAGCACACAAAAGGGAGATGAAAAGGTGGGAAAGTGGAAATGAAGGGGGAAGGTGTCTGCATGGCATAGGATGAAGAACTAACCAATGGGAGAAGAGAGCCAGCATGGCAAAGAGATGTTCCAGTACGAAGAGATCCTAGCGCTGAGGAAAGTTCCAGGGTAAGGCATGGTGGCATAGTCTAGTAAGCTAGAATCAGAGGTGGGAGGGCATTTTTTAAGTATCTCCTTTGTGCCAGACACTGTGATGGGCACTAAGGATACAAAGACAGAAATGAAATAGGCCCTACCCTCAAGGGTTTGTTGGGGGAAACAAATGTGTATACATATAAGTGTACACAAAATACATACAAAATAATTGAAATTTCATTTCAGAAGAAGGCACAAACATCTGGTGGGATCAGGAAAGGCCTCTGCTGGAGGTTGAAACTTGAGCTGAGCTTTGATGGAAAATTGATATTCTGAGACGTTGTAATGAGGAGGGAGGACATTCTAGGTTTGACAAATAGCTTATGAAAAGATATGGAGTTGAGATGTCAGTTGTGAGGAATAGAAAAGGAGGCCAATTTGGCTGGAATGTAGAATATTTGAAAGAGAATATTATATAATCAACCTAGAAAGATAGAGTGGAACCAGATTGTGAGGCAATTTAAGTGCCAAACACAGAAATTTGTATTTGATCCTAGAGACAAAAGGCAGGCCCTAGAGCTTCCTGAGAAGGGGAATGACATAGTCAGGCCTGCACTACTTGGCAGCTGTGTGCATGGAGAAGGAAGAGACCAGAAGCCAAGACCAGTTAGGAAGCTATAACAATAGTCTAGGTGAAGGGCAGCTAGGTGCTGCAGTAGATAGAGCACCAGCCCTGGATTCAGGAGGACCTGAGTTTAAATCCAGCCTCAGACACCTAACACTTAACTAATTGTGTGACCCTGGGCAAGTCACTTAACCCCACTGCCTAGCCGCCCCCTGAAAAGAGGAAGAAACAATGAGCAGAGAAATAGAACATTCCACTAAATGTAAATGAATTTAATTCCACAACTAAACAAAAAAGATTTGAGAATTTAAAAAAAATACATTATTTGCAGGAAACTCAATTTTTAAAAGTCATTCATTCTAACTATAAATTAAAAAGATGGGCCAAAATTTGCTTAATGCAGCTAAAACTGCCTTCAAAATGTTTTTTTAATTACTAATAAAAAGGTATATGCAATTGTAGTCAGTGGAGCAGGATATAGATTTAGAGCTTGAAGATAACCATAGTAGGCATGCAACCTAACCCCTTCATTTTATTTACTTTTACACAAATTTTTACACTTTAAAAATTATAATCAAATTTTATTTTTTAAATTACCATGCATTTATTTTTCTCTCTTCTACATCTCCTCCTTTCCCATACTGGGGTGGGGTGGGGGAATAAAAGAAAAACAAACACTTTCAATAAATATGCATAGTCAAGTAAAACAAATTCCCACATTGACCATATCAAAAAATATGTATTTCATTCTACATATTAATTCATCACTATCCAGAAGCAGGTCATATTCTTTATCATTGGTCCTCTGGAATCATGATTGGTCACTGCATTAGTCAGAGTTCTTAAATCTTTTGTAATTGTTCATTTTTGAAATTTTTCTCCTGGTTCTGCTCACTTCAATCTGCATCAGTTTATACAAGTCTTCCCAGGCTTCTCTAAACCCATCTCTTCCATCATTTCTTGTAACATAATAGTGTTCCATTACATTACATATGCCATTATTTGTTCAACCATTCCCCGATTGATCAACCCTTTCACTTTAGAGATGAGGAGACTGAGGACCAGAGAGATGGAAGCATCATGGTATAATGGAAATAGCAATGGATTTGGAATCACAGCACCTGAGTTCAAATTCTGGCTCTGATCCTTAATGTCTGTTTGGTGTAGGAGAAGTCAACTTTTTTGGCCTCGATTACTTCATTTATAAAATGATGGGGTTAAATTAGATAAAAGTTACATCCCTTCCAGTCTTTGATTATGTGATTTCTATGAAAGGATCTATAAAATAGGAAATGTAGATGCTCTGATTTCAAATCACAGAATCTCTGAGTTGGAAAGTATCTCAGAGGTTATCTAATCATGCCTGAACAAGAATCCACTCTACAATATACCTTACAAGTTGTACAACCTTTTCCTGAAGACCTCTAGTGAGTGGGAACCCACTTCCTACTAAAGCAGCCCATCCCACTTGTGAATAGTTCTCATTATTATGAGCAAGTTTTTCCTTGTGGCAAGCCTAAATTTGCCTCAGCTCATTGCTCCTAATACTGTCCCCTAGAACCAAATAGAATAAGTTAAATTTCTCTTTCATATGACCATAGACTTTCACATACTTGGGGATAACTATATTGTACCTTCTCACTTTTCTTAAGTCTTCTCTTCTTTAGACTAAGCATCTTCAGTTCCTTCAACCAATCCTCCTACAGCAAGAGGC